GATAGATAGATAGATAGATAGATAGATAGATAGATAGATAGATAGATGGATAGATGGAAGAAAGATTTGACTGAGATGACTGAGGGACAACAATGACGGAGGACATATCTGAAGCCAGGCATTTTTAACCCTCAGAGGGTCGTCATGGGACTGGACCGGGCCTCCAGCACCGCTCCTCTCATCATTTTACCAGATGTGGCGAGTCCCAACACCTCAGCCACCTCGTTGCTCTCGTCGGCATCTTGCAGCATCGATGAGTCCTACAAGTACGTCTTCCTGCCCGTCTGCTACTCCCTCACGTTTCTCTTCAGCCTGACCCTGAACTCCGTGGTTCTACTTCGGTCGTGCCGGTCCAGCAGCGGCGGGCGACGCTGGAACACCTCTCTGATCTACATGGTGAACCTGGCCACCACCGACCTGATGTACGGCCTGTCGCTGCCCTTCCTGGTGGCGAGCTACGTCCTGAGGGATCGCTGGGTTTTTGGGGACTTCATGTGTCGTCTCGTACGGTTCCTCTTCTATTTCAACCTCTATTGTTCCATCTTCTTCCTGACCTGCATCTCTGTGCACAGGTAAGCTGATAGTTTGAAGACAAAACCTGATTTATTGATCTTCCATGAATTGTTGATTAGCATTAGGAACCATAAGTAAGGTTCTGTTCTGTTGGAGCATCTGTCAGGGTGAGCATGTCCCAGTTCTTCCTAACGTACACCATAAACAGTCTTGTTTATACCCTCTGCTCTTGGCCTCCCCAAAAGCGTTTTACCCCCCAACCAGTGGTTCAGGGAGTCACTTTGTTTCCGCTTGTTGTGGACGTCCCAGTTGTAACCTGCGTACTGTACGGCTAGTTGCAAAGTAGAAGTGTAGGTTTGTTTCTACGGCATCCATTTAATGGAACAAAAGCCCAGAAGGTCCAATCATTGTAGAAACCACAAACGTAAAACGACTTAATCTTTTGTGGTTATGTTTTAGGTTTACAGACTTCCTGTGTCGTTCCTGCTGTGCGGCGTTTGTTTTTCTTTAGCGACATCTACAGTTTAAGAGGAGAACTGCAGAACATCCAAAGAAACTTGATGTCCCAATGTCACGAGTCGGACACAGGACTTTTAAAAAAAAAATCAAAGTCTTTTTTTCTTCTTTTGAACATATAAAACACAAAAAACATTAAAAAAATAAATAAAACTTACCTCCCACACCAGATCAGTCACACATACATAAATTAATTAAAATGAATTCCACAGACATTAACAAGTTTTACACATGCAACATAAAAGACTGTCACGGGTCCCAAAATCTTTTAACAGAACCCTTAAAGGTACTGTATATCTTATTTTTTCTAGATGGATATGATACATTGCCTCTCTCTTATCCAATGTACGTATGCTGGGTGGTGTGGGTCCTTCCAATTGCACAAAACCAGTCTTCTGGCCAGACGCGAGCCAAAAGCAATCACATCCTTCTCATACTTGCTGAAGGACATAGCCACAGGGACACCCCAAACAGTGAGATGAATGGTAATGGGTGTACAGTTTTTCCACATATCCCAGAAAAGGTGTTAAACATAGATTGCCAAAAAGTCTGCAGCTTGGGACAGGTCCAGAATGTATGCAGGAGTGTAGCTGGAGTTTGTTTACCATGCTTACATGCAGGGTCCAGGTCCGTTTGATCTTGAACAACTTGTCTTTGGACCAGTGCAGCCTGTTTACTACCTTGAATTGAATTACAGCATGTCTCAGACAGATTGAGGATGAGTAAATGTTCTTAATGATCCTTCCCCAGATTGAGTTTGATATGGATTTCTCCAGGTCCGCTTCCCATTTCAGTAAGGTAGTCCAAGCTGGACTCTGAGCTGAGCAGTGTATAAATCTTACTAAGGGCCCCCTTGGTATCAGACCTACGCTCCAAAATCTTAGACACAGAATGTTGAGGGGTACAAAGGAAGATGGCCAAGATTTTCTTCTCTATGGAGGTCACAGGCATCAGTTCGCTCATTTGAAGATTGACCTTATAGCCAGATTGTTGGATTGTATACCTGGATTATTGAGCATGGACTTTGTTGGCTTATAGCCAGATATTTTCCTGAAATTTTGAAGCAAAGTAAGTACTCCAGGGATACTGGTAAGTGGGTCTGAAATATACAAAACATCTCATCCGCATATAAAGAAACTTTGTGCTCTGTACCTAATCGATTAATTCCCTCAATCATATGGATGTTTCTTTGAAGTGGATCGGGCCTCTGCTGCTTGTTTGTTGTAACATCTCCGCACAATCTTAATAATAATGCAGCTTGGCCACTGTAGCTCTTTATTTACCACCCAAGCCTCTCTTGCCTGGTGTCCAGTGTATGTGGTCAACCAGCAGCGACTTGTGCATCTTCAGCACTTCCATTAGCATTTTGGCTATCACTGTAGGTGTGCACGAGCCCAGCAACTCAGGAACTCCAACAATCCTAATATTGTTACATTTCATATTCCCCTCCATGGATTCAATCTTTTTTTAAGCCCATGCACCTCATTCTTTAATTCCACCACGGTCCCACGCAGAGGCTCCACCTCATCTGAGCACTCAGACAGTCCATTTTCAGCCTCTGTGACACTTAGCTTGACTTGGTCAAGTTCTGCTCTGAGGGCTGTGGTGTTCACAGAAAGCTCAGCTCTCACTGCTTGCACTTCACTCCTAATAAAATTAAAATCATCCATCAGAGCTGCCTTTATTTCCATCCTATTTATTGCCGCAACTTGAGACTTAATTAAAGCCAGAATATCTGACTTCAGAACTGACCCAATTGTCTCCCCAGAGACGAGGGTGGGATGGTGCACCTGTTGAAGACATCCACCTGCTGCACCAGGCTCACTGTGGACCAGGGCTAATACAGGCCGTGTGGGCAGGGGCATCGCTGTCTTTGATTGTTTCAATTTAAAGGCCATACTACAGCTCCATCAAATCAATCCTGTGACGACACCAATCCCAGAAAAAAAAAAATCCACCACAGAGGCAGCGAGGGTATAAATGTAAAAGGCAGTTTTTCAGGTGGATCTGACAGGAGCTTAGTAAAACGCTGTTAACAATCTGCCGCCGTCTTGCACTCCCCGGACGCGGGTCTTTATGGAAACAGGCAGCATGTCAGTGTGCTGTTGTGAGTCATGTTAACTAGTTCCTGTAAAATTAGTTTTGCATGCTAGCTAAATGAGATTTTTGATGATACCAAACATGTAAGGCATCAGAACGCATCGATCTAACCATGACTGTTGTGACAATGACATGTTTTTAAAAAGTAAATACATTAGGCAGGTAATTTATAGCATGTGCTGATTTTGTTTTATTTGAAGTTTGTTCCTGAATAATCTCTGTTGAGGGCCCAGATAATCCCCCACTGCGGTCATCACCCTCTGTCCCAAAATCAACGGGATGCCCCCGCCCCCAGTGTGAAAACATGGAAATTAAAACATTGTCACATAACGTCCCAGTGGCTTTTAAACCCCAAAATACATTACGGCAAAGACTGGCCAATCCCAAATATCCAGTCCCCCGGCACAAACAGAGTAATGTTGTGTATGTTGTTCAGTGTCAGGAGGGTGATCAGTCTTACATCGGGGAAACTAAACCGCCACTAGCCAAAAGGATGGACCAGCACAGAAGATCAACATCATCAGGCCAGGACTCTGCAGTCTACACTCATCTCCAGGCCAGAGGTCACTCTTTCAGGGATGAAGATGTTCACATCCTGGACAGAGAGGAACGATGGTTTGAGAGAGGAGTAAAGGAGGCCATCTTTGTGAAAAGAAACCGTCCATCATTAAACAGGGGTGGAGCCTCCAGGTTCAACTGTCCCCCTCTTACAATGCTGTGATTGCTAGTATCACTCAGCCCTCTGTGAACAGTAAACAGCCATCAGGTGCTAATGATCTATTGTTAGGCTGATGGTCCTTCTTGAGCATGTGATCAGCTGGTTCTGGTTGTCAGCAGCAAACTGGTTGATCCACTCTGAGAAGGTGCTATTTAAGAGACTGAGCTGAATACAGCACCTCAGACTAAGAAAGTCTTTCGGATGAAAAACAAAACACAATTACTACAATTTTTTTGTTCTTTGAACCCGTCCAGAGGACCTGACTTAACATTTTTTAACTTAACTTTTGGTTAAAACAGTTCAGCTTTGGGTTTCAGGTGTATGGTTTAATTAAAGTTTGAGACGATATTCAGAGTTTGAAGACTTTGAGCCAACAGGAGGTTCTGATGTTGTGATTTATCAGTTATCTTTGGTTATTGCTCTCAACAAACCCTCCCCTCTCTGTTTGTGTCCTCTTTCCTTACATACAACCAGTACAGAACAGGGATTTTCTTGGTAGTGTTAATTTTTGATGGTCTTCACCTTTGCTGTCAGAACTTTGACCCGCTCACAGGACAGTAGTCCATCAAAAACAGAGCCAACTGATGGAGTTTAGTATTAAAGTTGGTAAAAAAAAAAAACCTGTGAACCTCTTATCACTCATTACCTGAGGACTGTGATCAACCACGGAGCACAGACTTTAGGTTTTAAATCAAAAGAACCTCCTGTGGATCCTCTGGTTTCTGTACTTTTGTTCTTCAGGGTCAGTCAAAGAAGAATGTTACGATTGGCCGCCCAACCGATGGTGGAGGTTTTCCATTTTCAGCATGTTTTGCTGAAGTTTGTGTTTCTGAGCCATTGTGATAATGATGGAAACAAATGGTCAGAGTGGTTTGGGTCCAGAACCATTAATGCTGACGCCGCGTGGTGGATGACTTGCTTCAAATACAGGCAGCACAGAGCACTTTTCTGCGGCCAGATCATTGTAAATACTTGATGTTCAAGTTCAAGAGTCTTCATTGTCCTCAAGGGGCCATTTGTTTCACAGACAGTAGACGCATAAATTATCCAGACTAAACAAGACATTAAGATGTAAATATAACCGTACAGAGATCATCACTCTTTGTTGAGAAGCCTGATCACTGCAGGGATGAATGAGTTTTTCAGTCTGTTTGTTCTACATCTGGGCAGCAGATACCTGTGTCCAGATGGAAGACACCTGAACTCACCATGGAGTGGTGATCAGGATCTGCCAGAATCAGCATGGCCTTGTTCACTGAACTTGTCTGGTGTAGGTCAGTGCGGTTCTGTAGATCAGTGAGGTTCTGTAGATCAGTGAGGTTCTGTAGGTCAGTGCGGTTCTGTAAGCCAGTGAGAGTCTGTAATTCTGTGAGGTTCTACAGGTCAGTGAGGTTCCACAGGTCAGTCAGGTTCTGTAGGTCAGTGAGGTTTTAGATGTCAGGGAAGTTCTGTGGGTCAGAAAGATTCTGTAGGTCATAGAGGTTCTGTAGGTCATTGAGGTTCTGTAGGTCAGTGAGAATCTGTAGGTCAGTGAAGTTCTGTAGGTCAGTGAGGTTCTGTAGGTCAGTGAGGTTCTATAAGTCAGTGAAGTTCTGTAGGTCGGTGAGGTTTTGTAGGTCAGTGAGGTTCTGTAAGTCGGTGAAGTTCTGTAGGTCGGTGAGGTTCTGTAGGTCAGGGAGGTTCTTTATGTCAGTGAGGTTCTGTAGGTCAGTGACGTTCTGTATGTCATAGATGTTCTGTATGTCAGTGAGGATCTGTTGGTCTGTGAGGTTCTGTAGGTTAGTGAAGTTCTGTAGGTCAGTAAGGTTCTGTAGGTCATAGAGATTCTGTAGGTTATAGAGGTTCTGTAGGTCAGTGTTGTTCTTTTGGTCTGTGAGGTTCT